GGACGGATAAGCCCATTCTGCAGTTGAACTGACAGCTCGCTGACGCAAGAATTATGCGAGCGTGAATTTGTGGACGAGTTTAACCGTTCACCCGGGAGGGCTCTCGCAGCGTCCGACGGGAACTTATATGCTCACGGCATCGGACGGGTAAGCCTCGCCAGGTTGGACGGAGGGCGGCCGCTGGACTCGGTCGGGAGGGCTCGACCGGCGCTTCGAAGGGGGGCTGGGGCACGGGAAAGACCCCTCACGTCCCGACGAATGGGGAGCCCGCCTGGCGACACGAGCGCGGTCGTCCGGCGACGACTAAAACGGGCAGACTCTCACTGCAATTCGAACGGGAGGTTCAACCAGCGTTTGGAAGGGGGACGGAACCCGGCCTTCGAACGGGTGAGTCATCGCTGCGTGCGAACGGGGGAGTCTGCATATGATTGAAAAACGTACACTATGAATATTAAGCGAGCGTGCAAGCGGCGAGCCCAGATGTAATCGGAAGGTTTGGTGTAAACGGATGTAACTGAAATGAGGCGCAGCAGGTGATAATTATCATTAATTAATTAGTTAGGGCTTGGTGAGCATTTCTGATGAAAAACCGGCTAGACCTAATATAGGTTTTGAAGGCATTCGATGACCAGCGACCGAGGGTTTTGATTTGTTGTTGGGAGAGACCTTTTTGAGCGGCTGTGGTAGCTGCTCCGATGCGGAATGAGTGGCTAGAGAAATGCTCTGCTGAGACGCCGGATTTGATGAGGACTGCTTTAAGATGCTTTTGGAACCAGAATCTCGTCGCTGGATGATTGGAGTCGTTAGTGAAAAGAGGGTCGAGTGGGGATTTGGACGAGGAACGTTTATACTGCAGGTAATTAAAAAGCGCATGGTACGGTTGGATGGGAGTTTGTAGATTGAAAATATAAACGAAGTGACCTCTTTTATCTCTGTCCGTTTTGCTTTGTTTAATGAAAAATGATATGGTTTCATTATCTACGATCTGGAGGTCTGAAATGGAGGGATGGATATTTGGGTCGAATAAGGAAGTAATGGTCAGTTCGGAACAGCGGAGGAAACCGAAGAATGCTAGGATGAACATAGCTTCTAATGTATATGCGGTGTTGATGGAGTGGTATCCAAGACGGAGTGATGAGATGCATCTGGTGAGTATATCGATTGTGATTGGTTGTCTGGTATCTGGGCGCGTGGGGCGGGATCTTTGGATTCCTTTAACTAGAAGGGACGTTTGGGAGTTATTTATTGCAGGTGTAGGTTTACCGTGGATTAATTTATGGAAGAATTGAATGCCGCTTAGATAGCTTTTAATGGATCCGGCTTGGAGACCTTTAATACTATGAAGATGAGATATGAATGAAGTAACTGTTAAAAGAGAAAATTCGGGAAACGACAGGTTGTGAGAGAGGTGGAATGATTTGAACGATTTCCATGCGGTGTAATAAGTTTGCAGGGTTCTGGGAGAGACGGCTTGGAGGATGGATTCGATGGACGTGTCCAGGAGGGATTTTAGCGGATGGTTTATGGGAAGATCAGCTGAAAATAAGGAGGTACTGGAGTTGGAGTGGGGTCTGCTTCTGGTGCCAGCATCCTGAACTTCTGAAAAGAGAAACGGGAGAGAGAGTCAGCAATTTGATTTTGAGCCCCTGGAACGTGACTTGCAGTTATTAAGAACTGGTCGCATGCGGAGATCCATATGAGGCGTCTGAGGAGTGGCATAAGCGCAGGTGAGCGAGAACGACCTTTGTTGATACAGTGTACAGTTGCTTCGTTGTCGCAATGGATTTGGATGCTTTTGGTTGACCATTCTTTCCCCCATAGGGAAGCTGCGACGACGATTGGGTAGAGCTCGAAAAGGGCAGAGGAGGCTGAAGCCTGGGGTGTGTCCAGGAGCTGAGGGGGCCAGGGAGACGCGAACCAGCGTCCTTGGTAATAGCCGCCGAAGCCGATCGAGGGAGCTGCGTCTGTGAACAGTTTGATATCGAGGGGGAGAGAGATAAAGTCGTCGTAAAAAAAAGTTAAGCCGTTCCACTGATTGAGGAAATTAATCCATAATTTTAGCTCGTTTTTTGACTCGTCAGAAAGGATGATCCGATCTTCCAGCCCATGAACAGATGAAGAGAGGGCTAGGAGATGCGCGATAAAGGGTCGGCCCTGTGGAATAATGCGCATCGCATAATTTAGGTGGCCCAGCAGCGAGAGAAGTTCGCGTTTTGAACAATCTGTGCTGTCTGTAAAATTGGATGCGATTAAAATGATGCGATCGATTTTTTCCTTAGGCAGTGAGGCCTGGAATTTTGCTGAGTCCAGATTGATGCCCAAGAACTCGATGGATGTAGTTGGACCCGATGTTTTCTCGTGGGCTAACGGAATCCCTAGTTCGGCGAAAACTTTTTTCACTATGAGGAGGTGAGCCTCGGGGATGATGTCGTGAGGTGAAATTATTAGGAAATCGTCGAGCAGATGGAGAAGTTGAGGAATTGCATAATTATTGGAAAGGATCCAACATATGGCTTCAGAGAGAGTGTCAAAGATTTTTGGGCTGCTTTTGCAGCCGAAAGTTAAGCGCACGGCGAAATAATACTTTTTCTGCCAGTTTACGCCGAATAAGTGCCATGAATCGGGGTGGATTGGCATTACTTTAAAAGCAGAGGAGATATCTACTTTTGCAAGCCATGCGCCTCGTCCAGCTATTTTAATCATGGTTATGGCTTGTTCGATATCGTGATAGTTAAGAGAATACTCTTCGAGGGGGATGAGACTATTGATGCTCGGATATGGAGAATTATGGGGGGCTGAAAGGTCGATTATCAGCCGCTTTTTTCCGGAGAATTTCCTGGTAGCCACGCCTATGGGGCTGATGCGAAATTTGTCGAACGGGGGGGCCTCGAATGGACCGATCATGAAACCGGATTCAATTTCTTTTTTAATTAGCTTATCTACTACTCCGGGCTCTGCTAAGGCGGACTGAAGGTTAGCGCAGATAATATTTTGCGTGGGATGGCTTTCTACACCGGGTTTAAAGCCTTGATTAAGACCTGTCAGTAAATAATTTGTGAAGTTGGCATCTGGGTGGTGTGATAATTCTTCGGCTAGACGGAAAACATTCACAGGAGTCGAGAGATAGTTTTTAGCATTTTTATTGACAGATTTTTTGACTGGGCATATCACGCGGGCGTGTGCGCCGCCGCAGAAATCGCAGACGTGGAGAAAACGACAGCGTTGTCTTGGGCATCTCCCTTCGTTGAAGTTCCTACAAACTTGTCTATCGGGTGCCGAGTATGGTGCTCTGATTGAAAAATCTTCTCTTGCGTGACGCGGAACGTAACTTGTGGATTTTATGGCATTCTGCTCTGGGCCGGGAGGGATCGACGGGTTAATTTGTGGGCATGCCGTGGTGGCATGGATTGTGGATCTGCAGATTGCGCAGGAGATATTTCTGCACCCAAGGAAGACTCGGTTATGGAGATCGGTGTCCAACGCTCCCCAATAGGGACACTGATTCCATTGGGAAACGCGGACGGCGCATTTTGCGGAAAACAGCTTGTGGTACGTATAAAAATGACTACCCCCGTAAGACAACGCGAGCTCCGCTATGATAGACAGATAGTCGTTCAGCTCGCGCCGTCTATGGGGAAAAGACGAGCATATGATTTCTGTATAACGGCTGAAGGCAATACAGAATTCGGCTAGTGACAATGAACGTGATGTAACCTGTGAGTTATTTTTTAGAGTGACTGAAATGTCGCCGCAGTCTACTTGGCGATTGGACTCAGCCGGAGGAAACAAGGACAGGAGAGAACCCAAATCAACATCTGCACCTGCAAGGATTTGAGCTCTGATGTTGTTCGTCACTGGAGGAGGTTCAGATGCTACTGCATTCGGAGGGGCTGGTTGAGGAGTGGCTGAGAAGAGAGAGAAAGGAGAACGCACTTGGAGAGGGTTAAAGGGATGGGAAATCGGGGCTGTGGCCGTTTGCGGAGGCATCCTCACGCGGAGATCGGCCCCCGGGTTAGGTGGAGGAGGAGGAATAGGAGGAGCATAGTGTGGAAGGGGAAAGAAATGCGCCGGTGATTGACCGGCTAACGGAGGCATCCTCACGTTAGGGTAAGCACCTGACGCTTGGGAAGGAGGAAAACTGAAAGAAGTAGAAGGGAAGAAAAACGTTTGGGGATCGTGTAAGAAAGTGGAGCTGCCGGGATCTAGAGTGTGAGGTACCACGATGGGAGGGGCTGAGGAAGGGATTTGACCTGGAGGAGATTGGCGCCCATCCGTGACTGGTTCCGGGGCGCGGCCCATGCTAGCGGAAGGTCTGTGACGCCGTGGCGCGGGGGCGGAGCCTAGCGCTGCAAGTGAGGAAGGAGGTACTGCGGGACGAGCGATCGGGGCCCGGCGAGCCTTGCTCGTTCGAGCCGAAGGAATTGGAGCTGAAACAGAAGGGTGAGAAGATTGTAAGGTGACATATAAATTAAATAATTCTGCTTTTTTCATCCTGCGGGAGAAATTTGTATCAGAATTAATTAGGGCTTGTCTTAGCCCCTTAACTGTCCACTTCCCTATGGGAGGGATGTTAGGGGAAGCTGGCAGGTGGGAAGGCGCGGAGGAAGACGATGATGAAGATGATGAGTTCCTCGCTGGCGGTGGTGAGGGGAGTCTTCGACGCCTTGGAGTATGTGGAGAGGATCTGGAGGGCCGACGTCCCCTGGTTGAGGATGGAGGCTCGATGTTGTCGTTGGCTGCTGGAGAAGGAAGGGTTGCTGGATCTGCGTTTTGCGGTTGAGATGACTCCGAGATGAAAGATTCATCGTCGGAGGGGAAGAGCTCTAACTCGGACATGACTGCACGGAGGCGGAGTCAGATGCTGAGAAATTAGTCATGAGACAGGAGGTAAGGGAAGGCTTTATTTATACTGGCTTCTTCTTGCGCTGATTGGATGATTACCTGAACATGCTCCTCCCGAACTTTGTTTACATAAAACTTCATTTAGTTTCACAATTAAGTGGGCAACACTACTGACAGCCAGCACCTACACAGAATCTTAAGGGTCATGGATTTGATTGCCCATTTCCAACTGTCCTTTCACCCTCTGCCTTCTCTGCTATCACTGGACTGTCCCTGTATTAAAAGCAATGGAAATACCTCAAAAGAAGTCAGTGGTAGTGGAATTGAAATGTTGGATTTCTAGTATGTTTTTCGTTTTCTCTCTCTCTCTCTGAAGATTTTAATATGCAGAGGCTTGAGGACCTTCTATGGGATTCAAACAGCATTGATGGGCAAGATTTTGCTCAGCAGCCATCTTTGTCCAGTTGGTGTCAAAGACAAAAAGGGGTCCAACAATGTTGGCAACAGGCGAGGCCACAAAACATTCACAACTTGTTGTCAGCTGAGAACATTGTCCAGATGAAGTGCAACCACTGTCACGTGGCAGAAGCCATCATCCGTTGCAGGGAATGTTTGCCCTCAGAGTGGTTTTGTGCAGAGTGTGATCAATTGGTACATAAACGCCACACTCTGCACAGTAGGCAGACCACCATGTATGGCTTTTATAAATACATTCCCCCAACAGAGTTTGTGAAACTCCATGATGATAAGTACATCATCTGTGAACAAGGTTGGTGTCTCTTTTTCAGTTGATTTGCTTTTTTTTTTTTATCAACACACAACATTATTAAATTATTCATTATGTTTTACAAGTACTTGCTAACAATCCAAACATTCTTTAATGTCATCCTGATTGTCATTTGCTCTTGCAGATTGTTTGCTGCCAACAGCCTATCCTCAAAATATATGCTCCTGTGACACTGGTGATGTTGCAATCTCTGTTGGTAGATCCATCATACTGGTTTGCATAAATGGTAGGATTGGGTTAAAAAATATTGTTTATCTAACATATTACTTTAGTTCGTTATTTATTTGTCTTTCATGTGATCTCAGGCCGTTATAATCTTCACGTTCCGGTGCTAACATGCAAACATTGCAATAAGCAATGGGCTCCAGAAGTCAGTGACTTTGTAAGGAATGGTTACTGGCCCGCTACCATGCAAGCACAGACACTTTTCCACCAAGATCTGTTCCATTCCTTTGAAGCTATGAAGACAACAGCTCCAGGAATGTCAGTGAAAGCCTTCACAGCAATGTTGGACCAGAGAACAAAGCGGTTTGGAAGAGTGAGTACAATTTGAAGCTGAAAGACAAATGCATTTGTTATTATAAGTAGCTGTAAGGCTGGACAGTATGGCAAAAAGGGTGTTCAAGTCCAAACAGGGTGCAAATTCAAATATACCCACATATGAAGTGGCTGTAATATTTCAGGTTACTGAAATGAACTGAACTGAAGACCATATTAGACCGCATTGCCAATTGCATCCTTTCTTGGGTTTGAAAAGGTACATTGACAAAACATAAATGGGGTGACCTTGTAGTTCATTGTCATTTAAAGCTGTTCTATAAATTGTTTTTCAGACTGGCAAAGTGAATACAGATGCTTTTCAGAGGAGCTTTCTGCAATATGTGTACTGCAACTCTGAAGAGGACCAACTTCTGGAAAAGGAGCCATTTGTCTGTCCAGCCTGTAGTCCTGAAATGGTGGCTGTTTCAGTGGATGGCAACAGAAAACTCTACAGGTTCCAGAAAGCAAACCAGTGAGTTTTGTGTACACATTAAAACCAGCCAATGTAGTTAATGTATCTACTTGCTATTAACATTATCATAATAATATAGTTCTCATTTTGTTATTTAAAACTAAGCTGTTGAATATAATATCCATGTCGTATAGTATAGTATCCATATAATATCTATTATTATAATTTATTATTATTATGTAAGACTTCTTACTACAGTGATTATCCAGAATACATTTTGTTGTAGGAGTGAAGAGCCAGGGTTCTTTGATGGAGTGTTTTTATCCCAAGACTCTGAGGTGTCCAGTTTTGTTGAGGAAGTCCGGGAGGCTGTCAAGAGTGTAAGTTTTCAATCAGGCTGAGCAGCGGGTATCTCTGGCTTATTTTATAACTAATTGGAAGTAACAACACTGTAGCCTTATTAGGTGTTCGAATGAGGGAATCTTTGATCAGGTGTTGAGATGGCACGTGATGAGTGAAGTTGCAGAGCTGGATGAAAAAAATACAACTAGATTCTAATCCAGAGAGCACAGTATATCTATAGTATTGGTTGCTGCACATACAGTATGTCTGACACAATTTCTGACAAAGTTAGACTATTGCAATTATCCTCCTGCATGCGAAATGGCAAATCATTTCAACTGGTTTGTTATACTCCAGGGAGTTGCAGATGGAAGATGGGTCAGGCAATCAAAGACAAAATCTAATCAGACTGTAATTGTTGGTGTGTTTGAGCTTGCAGCCCTGCTATTTAACTTTTTACTTTGGTAGACAGCAGGAAGAGCGATGTGTGGGGAATCCCACTGGACAGCAGCAAGAGAGACATCAAGGCAGGCCAACAAGTTGGATGAAGAAGGTGTAGAAATTGCTGTGTGCAGGCATGGATTCCTCCTCAAAGGTTGCTATTGGTCTTGATAAATTGCAATGAAAAATATTTGTAGATGAAACATCTGAAGCCTATTCTTCAGTGTGCAATGTGCTCTCTACTTAATTTTTCTTTTTTTCCAAAAGGTCTGAATATGTATAGAGGAGAAATCTTTGCATATCCAATGTTTCTCCAAAAAGAGTTCCAGGGTGCTGCATTTTTGGCCATGGATGTGACGTGCCGTTATGTGCCATACCTGGAGAAGGTGTCAGAGGCCCTGACTCATCTTCAACCTCTTCAGAAAATGAGACATTGCTTGTCCGTAATGCATGCCAAAGCCCACAATACAAAATGCGAGGTGATGCTTTTAACTACTTTTACATTTCAGAGTGATGTAGCCAACAATTAACGTAAAGTACCACAATGTATGATGTTGTGACCCAAACAACAACCCAGGAGTGTGTTTTGAGTTGTACATGAGCCCCTATGTGCTGTCCTCTACAGCTGGTGACCTTGGGATATGCATCAATATTGATCACCCTGTTGTCCACCCTGTTTAACAAGTCCACTGCTTCCTGTAGATTCTGTGGAATGCAAGGAACCAGGAAGGTGCTGGAACCACTCTTGGTGAAGAAGTAGAGCAAGTCAATAGTTTTCTCTCCAGATGTGCCCTGACCACAAAGTATATGTCCAAGTCAGGTTTGTAGGCTTCTTTGCCCCCTGTTCCCCTGCAATTGTACACATTGACATTTTACAATTTATTGTGATTTTTCTATTGTTCTTTACAGTAAGAACTGATATGCTTACTGTCCATGCTATTGGGTGGAATCAACGTAAAGAGAATGGCCTCCACATTGCCTTGTCTTCCAGATTCAAAAAGGTATGTTCCTGTATTGAAAAAGGATGGACTATTTTAAACCGTTAAATTTGAACTTAAAGTCCACCCAAAATGCATCACTTCAGCTATATGTAGTCGAATATGTCATTATATTAAATCAGACAGGAACATATACTTTTTGGTATTTTATGAAATGACTGTGTGTTGCTGTTTTGCAGACAGTAGAAAACACCCTAGATGCAACAGAGAGCCTGAAGAAGATGCAGGACCAGTTGCATTGCAGTGATGACATGCTAAAGCAGTGGGTTGTTGATGTCAAGCAGTGGGCCAGTAGCGGTAAGGGCAATGTTGTTTTATACATAAACACTGTTGGAGTAATTTGGTTGTAATGCATGTAGCTGTAGCTTAATGTTAAATTATGATGTGGGGATGGGCACTTTTTGTGTCACAAGTCTTCAAGTAGTATTTTGACTTAAAGAAAGTAAACAAATTTAGCAATGAAAACAGAATGATTGGTGCATGTTCACGCAAATCAGACCAAAATGGAACAATATTATTTGAGGTAGGAAATGACAGACCAAACACAATGTACCAGTAAAGCCCAATTTATACTTCTCCGTCAAACTCCTGCCGTAGCTACGTCGTAGGCTGTGTGTAGTGCGCGTACGGTTCGGCGTACCCTGACGCGCACCTCTCCAAAAATTTAACAACGCGTCAATTCTACGCAGACGCAAGCGCTGTGATTGGTCTGCTAGAACCTAATAACCTAAACCCTGATAGGACATAATCCCCCATCAATGACTTTCATAAAGAATGACTGTGGACTATGGACTCTCATAAACACAGACTCTTGAAAAGTGATGATAATAAAGATATCACACAGATTAGATGCCTATGACTCTTGGCCTATGTTGCTTGGTCCCTAATTGTTGCTGAAACATGCAGTCAGTGTCCAGTACGGTATGAGAAAAACATACGAGATAGATATTTCTGTCCAAATTAAACATTGTCCTAAACAATGTTTTAGCTGCTGCTGCTGTACTATGTGCAATTAAGAAAACTTAAGTGTGTTTGAAACATTTCTCTTTCTTCTTAACTTGAATTTAGGAAATGCAGCAGCCAGTTCTGTTAATGCTTGTGGTTTGCAGATCTCCATCGAAGCACTCTTTGTGAGCATTTGTCAGAAGAAGCACTACCTTTATAGACAGAATGGTATGTATTAGTTAATGTAAGTTATGCAGATGGAAGTTATATTGTTTCTGTTCATTAAATGCCATGGCAGCTCTTTTGTAATACCATTGTTTTTGCTCTTATTACAGATCGCAACAAAAGGCGTCAGAAGATTACTCAGAAGATTGCCCAAGAAAAGAAGCGCTTGCTAGATGAGATCCAGAGATACAACCAACAACCTGATGGTGATCCTGTGGACACACACTCAGTTGTGCAGAAACTTTCCAACAAAGCTGCAGAGAGCATGATCTGGCCTTGGCAGGAACAGAACACAGGTGTTGTATTAATATTTAACTTTGTTTATTTAAAATGTATCATCATCAAATTAGTTTATTAATGTATGATGTTTTCATTCCTTCAGACGGTATAGACATTCTCGTCAAGAAGAAGCTTTTTGACCAACTAATGCTGGTCTCACGACTGACAGAAGAAAAGCAGATCCTTGTGAAGGAGATGATGCAGCACTGTCAGTACCTTAAGGACTCGGTTGCAAAGGTCCAGACACTGATAGCCACCATTTCAGATTGCATAAAAACAGGAAGTAAGTGTAAATCAAACAATATGGCTTTATGCACTTTAATATTCATAGATCAAACTATTTTCAAGTGAAAAGCAATCATGCTAGTATTGGCTCAAGAACTAAGGACACATGGCCTTCAAAGATTATTTTATCCAATTATTATTTTCCAATTTGACTTTGTATTTAACATTTGTTCTAACATAAATAAGCTCTCTGATAAAATGTTTAGTGTGACGGTAATTCCATTACTCTTCATGTGTGGACTTATAGGCTATCCCAATGGATTCACAGAGGAGGCGTCCAGGGGCCTCATCAGTCTACTTAAGAGAAGACTGCATAACCTCAGATTTAAGCAGCAGACTGTAGCATGCTCATACAGAGGCATTCTCGAACCAACTCCTAGGCTGGTGGAAGAAGATGAAGGGGAAATGGAGGAAATGGACTGGCAACGTGACCTCAGCTCTGAGGATGAGGATGATGATGAGGAAGATAATGAGGCTGAGGTGGGGACTCAAGTCACTTGACTTGGGACTCAAGTCACAGTTGTAATCCCTTTTGCTTTGACCTGTACTTTGATGACTTGAAAAGATCTTCTGTCAAGACTTTAGAAACCCTGTTTTTGTAAGTGAGTTAGATTGAAAGTGACAAAGTGACTCCTCACTTGTTTGTTCCTGCAGTTATCCGTATTTTGCTACATATGCTCTCAGATTATACTTTTTTTTTATGTTACTGGAATTGTAATAATCATGGTTATGTTTGCAACTGATAATGTCTGTAAATATTTGCTGATACCTGTATATATGTGTATGGAAACAGAAATACAAATTTGATTTGTCATCAGACTGAGTTGACTTTGGCTCATCACACATCAACCCTTACAAAAAGAGAGAACTGGGAGCTTTCAGATTCAACCTGAACTACCAACATTTTGGAACATTAGAGGTCACTGACACCAGGTCACATATTAAGATAGATGTATGAAACTTACATACTGTACACTGATAGTTACTGGCAGTGTAATATACTTCAATACTGACAATGTAAAACCATTGTAGTTATTGTCTAAATATATATCATCCAATAGTTAACCAAATGTTAAACAGATGATCGGTTAGCAGGGTTGGGTCAGATTGCTTTGAATATAAACAACATGGCAAAATTAATAATCATCAGTTATGCAATTTACCTTTTAGCAACAACCCAACTTGGAATATCATTTTAAGAAGCTCAGTGATCTGAGGCCATGCAGAGTAAATGTTATGACCATATCCATCTGATTATCAACTCATCCCATGGTAGGAACAAGCCACATATAAGATGTGGAGACTGTTCATATCAGTGTCATCTTCAGAGATACATGTAGGAAACTTTATAAACAGGGATATTGAGGCTACTACATTATATAATCCAGACCATGTAGGACCATTCAGGTGGTTTGGAGGAGCTAAAGCATGCCAGAAGGGGCATATAAAATCCCAATATATGCCTCTGTGTCAATGGTACCTTCTCACCCATGCCATGGGCACTGATGCACACATATCCTAACTTTTCTGGAAATGGGGTTTGTAGTTTCTCACAGTGACAGGTTTTGGTATGAGGAAAATGTAAATAGAAACCTATTTGCCCTTTTTTGTAGAGATCAAAAAAAATCTTTACACAGAAATAAATACAGAGGATGCAACAGGGCCAATATGTGTAATGCACTCTTGTTTTTAAATACCAATTATAATGTTACAAGTACAAGAGGAGACGACTACCCATCATAGACCATGATCTTTTATTTTTATACCATCATAGCAGCATTAGCATAAATAGATATGCATATAAGCCGTGTGTGTGTACTTTTACTATCTTTGTGAGGACCAGTTTGAGTTTTAGACCATCGGAGTAAGGACCTTTTGACCGGTCCTCACTTTCTGAGAGCCTGTAAAGGTCAGTTTGAGGGTCAAGAGCTGGTTTTAGGGATCAGGTTATATTGAGAATTTGGGCGTGTTTAGGGTCAGGGTTCAGGTCAGACACTTAGTTGTGATGGGTAGGGTTAGAGTAAGGACCTAGAGATTGCATTGTGTCAATGAATGTCCTCACAAAGATAGATACAAACGTGTGTGCGTGCGTGTATGTGTGTGCCTGCATGTAAATCTGTTTACACAGTCAGAAACAAACAAAAAGCTTTATTTTATATAGGCTATTGAGCCTGCGTGCTCCCTGAAACTAGACCTGAGATGGCTTGTGTCCGTGAAATGAGAAAATTAAAACTTTGTTTTATAGCTGAACCAAATACATTGTTGGAAAGGCCGTGACCTGGAGAGTAACATATGTTAGTATGAAGATTCTACATGGCTCCTGCTTTGAAACACTGACCTTTGAAACTTCACCTCGGTGCATGTTTGAAGGCTTATAATTCAGCAGCAAAAGGGGCTACAGATATGGGACCAACTGTTATAGAGAGCTCTTGACCTGAGTATAGTCAACAACTGGGGGCAGTTAACCAAATATGGATAACATATGGGTTAATTTAATTTGACCCCATTTAACAATTAGATATTTAAAATCTGATTGCATAGATGTGTTTACCATCCCACTAAACCCCCCACTATACTCCCAACTCACTATTTACAACCTCCAATTGTAAGAAAAACACTAATGTTTTAGAAACTACAATTCCCTTATATCCACACCATGCAGCTTGATACAAATCAGCACTACAGTTGTAGTTCTTCTGGTTTGCAAAGTAGGGTTGTAAAATAGGGTTGTAAAAAGATATATCTACTGAATATATTACATATCTAGTACAGCCAAACTAGTAATTACACTGCATCTAGATGATCTATGTTAACAAATAGTAGATATGTTGGTTTATTTCAGATATTTTAGCCAAAACAGGAGTATAACGCGCAAACTCCGCCCCACAACACAATCATGCACTTCCGTAACCTTATGCTACCAATTTTTTTTTTCTTCTCATTTTCCAAGGAGCAATTATTACAAGTGATAGCCTTAACATGAACATAACGTATTGTTGAGTTATCAATTTGTTTTTCTGTGGAGAAATGTTGAAGATATCGTTAAAAAAGTGGGTGTCTGTGAAGAAAATACTTCCGGGTGGAAGCGATAGCAATTAGCAACATCAATAGCAACCACCATAGCAACGAACTAAAGATAATATGCATTCACTGAACGAAAATTATGAAAACAAAATGCAACTGGTTATTTTTAACACCAAAGCTGGCTATATACCTTGAGTACTATAAGGATTAAAATTGTACCCTTTGTTGTGCACATATATTGCACATACCTGTTCCCATAAATGTGAATGTATTATACACACATATATACACCCATTCACGGAATGAGTTACAATCAGTGGTTACAACAGACTTCTAGTTCCCAGCATGCTTTGCCTCTATGTTAAAAGACAGTAAATGTTAAAAATAAGTGTTATTTCATGTTTTGCTCAATATGAATATAAGGGATATCTATTTGTGTGTAATGTTCTATTATTTTGGTATTTAAAAGTTTTTGGGGTTACTATTGTACATGCAGTTGTGCTTGTGCTTTATAACTAGCTTGAATATGTGGGGCCAGAATGAGGTGAAAATGAAACTTTATCATAGGACAAAATGAAAGATATTTATACACCCTCAAGTACTCCCGTAACAATGTTAATTCCATGTTTTCAGAGAAGGAGAAACAACAACAAAACTCACAACAGAACTTTTATTGTGAAATATTGTAAAGTGCCAGACAATGCAAATTAGTTTTTCTGGGTGGAAGGTTGTGAAAAGGCGAACTGCACAATAAAACGATTGGCCTTTTGGATGAGAAAAGTATTGGATGCGATGAGGTCCTTCCCAACACCCAGCTCTAATGAACAAAAAATGAAACAAATTTATAAACACATACTTTTAATTTACAACATATATGTAATCAATTCTGTGCAATACAACTTTATTGTTGTCCACATGGCCCAGTTTAATGGACACAACATTTGTTTCACAACATTTGTTTTCTTTGCACCATCAGTGACAACAGTATTTTTTAGCAGACCTTCCTTTATGACACAGTCATTCCAATGTTCTCCTGCAGTTCCCAAGATGGGGTCCAGGCCTTTTGGCTGAAAGAAATGGCAAAATAAAACGTACAGAAATTATCTATTTAATTGCTGAAATAGGTTCAATATAAGGATAGCCTCTGACATGGTTTATAAACCCTGTTAGGCTTCTACATATTTCCCTGACAGAATGGGGTGGAGAAAGCAGAAGAGAATGTATATTTATATCCAAATTATATTATTGTCACTTTGTAATGACATTTTCATGTATGTTGTAGTTGTGTAGCTTAATCTCTCTGTAGGCAAAAACAGATGCCACATGTGGAGAGATCTTAGTTCATCCAAAATTAAGCAGCCCGCCTGACTTCCCAAAAAGAAATGTAACACTGGTCTAGGCGCTTTACCATGAATTGGGAGTTATTTAAGTTTATGTGTTAATCAGACAGGCTTCTTAATTAGGTTAACTGTCACTTTAAGGACAACCCATAAGTCAGTTAAACAAGAAAGCTGATGTTACCATGACGGACACGGGAGCCAATGGACCAGGACTTCTTTACAGCCCTTGGGAAGAGGGTAAAAGACAAACCAAAGTCATACTTTTATTTCATAATTAAATATTTCATTTATTTTTCCTCCTAGCCTCTAAAAATCAATCGCCATATAATTACCAAAACATCAAAGTTTTGGTTTAATATTTAGAACGCTCTAACAGCAAATTATTTAACATGTTAACTACTTTTTATTTAGACTTGTTTTTATTTATGCACCTACAGTCGAACAGAAAGTTCTCCGTATAGCTACTCACCTTTTTTTCACGTGTCTTGGACACATATTGCACTGGAAAAATCTCCAATCTGCTGTGATACTGGCAAGCTGTAAAGAAAAATGAACAAATTAAGTTAGTACAAACCATTGCAATGTAACCGTATAAACCCAGAGAGAGGGTATTGTATGCATTTCTCTTTGAAATATAAGACCAGAAGTAAATGCACATCATAATTTCCCTGGATTATTCCGAAGCCCCAAAAACTCCAATGTAAAATGAGTCAATTAGGCAAGTAAAAGACATTTTCAACTAATATAACGTTAATAGTTTTATATTTGTTATCAGGCCTGTAATGTACTAAACTAGCAATAAGAAGATATTATATTGTGGGCCAAAAAGCTATTAGATTAGGATTAGTTACGAGTTTAGGAATTATTATTTAATTATTTTTGAATTAAAAATACTTCATAGCATTTTTCCTACCATCATTATTGTTTTGGCTTCTTTTCCTTTTCCTTTTTCGCTGAAATTTTGACAGCTGACTTCCTGTATAGAGAAACAAAAAGCATGTGTAAATTGCAATAGAGGTGTGTGGTGTCTGCCTTGCAAACCAAGTGAATACTTTCGAGTACACCGCAATGCAGGACAATCTGTTGACACTTTCTCTGATGACTTCACCATTGGGCATTGCCACATTGCTTTATGGCACACCGGATGCCAAACTGCTGCCATACAAATAACTCCACGTTATAAGAAAAAGTAGAAAGAGAGCAACTTGTGAAATACCATCTGACTTCTGAGTCTAGTGTGGTGTGCTACTTCTTTTTGTACATGGGCACATTCTTTACCATTCTGTATCTCATATTCTACATAGTCAAGATTGCCCTTAATGCTCTGCCTCTTCTATTCTGTATTGACACTTACCTGTTTGCTGCTACTACTTTCTTCTTCGCCTCAATCTCTTTTTCCCCCATTTCTTCTGCCTGTTCTCTCTGCTTGTCTGTCTCCATCAGTCCCAACTCTTCGAAGTCTTCCTGTCCCTCCATCTCTCGTCTCTCCACTTGGTCTTCCTGTACCTCTATCTCTCCTCTCTCACTCTCTCCTCTCTCTTCCTGTACCTCTATCTCTCCTCTCTCTTCCTGTACCTCTATCTCTCCTCTCTTCACTCTCTCATTCTCTACTCTGTCTTCCTGTGCCTCTATCTCTCCTCTCTTCACTCTCTCACTCTCTACTCTGTCTTCCTGTGCCTCTATCTCCATCTCCTGCATGTCCCTCCTCTCAGTTTCTCCTATTTCACGTTGCCCCCCGTGTCCTCTCTGGTCTTCACCATCTATTTCTCTTTCTGCCTCATCTTCTTCTCCTGTCCTCTCTTGCTGCCCCACCTCCTCTCTTTCAAGATCACATGCTGTGATAAAAAATAAAACAAAAGACATTTAAGATGCAGTATGAGGTTCAAAATGTGAGTAACCAAAGAAATATAAAAAGTTTAAGACAAAAGATAAGTAGAACAAAATTACCCACCACCAGCAATCTAGATTGTGTGAAAAATTCTCTGTACTGACATTTAAAACCGATCCAACTGGATAGCTACACAATACAGGA